CTATGCTTCCATCTTTTACCACCTGTAACTTCATCAGCATTTGAGAGTAGCACCTTAATAAATGTTAACCTTTATTGGAGTAATTATTTATTTATTTGTAATCTCATTTAATATATAGTCCTTGAGGCTGGGGACTGTGTTTGGCTAATGTCTGCGGCAGCGGAGGCCCCACGGTGTGTGGGGGGGGAGTGGGGGGGTGTCGCGTAAAATTTACATACGGTTAAAATATACAAATTTTAAGATTATTCAATAAGTTTTGACAAATGCTCAACCCACTGGAACCCCAAACCATATTTAAAAACATGATTGCTACCATTACTGTAGAAAGTTCCACTATACCTCCTAGATGCAACCCTATTTTAATTTTTTTTCCACCTCAGCTCAGTTTGAATTTTCTAAAGTTTATGTGAATGGAGTCATATAGTATATATCCTTTTGGATCTAGCTGTTTTCGTGAACTGTACTGGTTTTTAAAATATTTATCCATCTTACTGCTTTTAGCAGGATTATTTTTTTTATTGCTGAGTACTGAATTAGATAAATATATTAAAATGTCTTTGTTCTCTTTTTTCTAGATCCTTGGGTTCTTTCCAGTTTCTGTGAAGCTGCCATAACCACTCTTGCAAATCTCTTTTTGTAAGTATGTGCTTAACATTTCTTTTGAGTTGATACCTAGGAGTGGAAGGAATTGCTGGGTCACAGAAGCTTAGGTTTTTAAGAAACGTCAAATTTTTTTTGTTGTTTTAGAAGAAGCTAGAAGATATGTTTCCAAAGTGATTGTACCGCTTTGCACTCCAGAGTTCCGTTTGACCTCCATCTTTGCCAACATATACTATTAGTCTTTGATTTTAGCCAGTCTAGAGCAGTATTGTATACTATCTTATTGTGATATTATTTTACATTTACATTTAATAGTATTGAGTAAATTTTCACGTACTTATTAGCTATTAATTTGTGCATTGTCTTTTGAAATCTTTTGTTCATTTTGTATTAGATTGCTTGTTACACACACACACACACACACACACCCCTGACCACATTCTGGTTGTAAATTTTTTAGCGGATACTGTATTTGGAAATATTTTCTCTGACTCTGTGGCTTGTCTAGTCATCTTTAATCTTTTTAATTGTCAGACATATTAATGTTTAATCATCCATTACTTTTACATAGTCCTTCCCTTCATCTATTCTAGCGTTGTTGTGTCTCATTGAGTCGGAACCGACGGATAGCTGACCCTCTTGCAGGTTTTCAGAGGCAGTTAATTACACGGGAGATTTACCATCCTTCGGCAGAGCAGCCTCAAACCACGTGCTTGCAGGATTGCAGTGCAACTTCCTACCACTAGGGCACCAGCGCTCCCCAGAGTACTGTTCTTCCATGTTCTTTCCCCCTCCCCTGAGTCCGTTCTAATTTGTTAAACTTTTATATTTGCTTTCATACACAATTTTTATACGTGTATTTCATGCTTTACTTCATTGACATTGTGTTTCATACAATCATTTCCATACATTGTGCTTTATAAAATTAATCATGATTGAACTATGCCCACCATTACCCTATTTTTCAAATCCAGACTGGATCATTCCCATTTCCTTCCCCCTCCATCCACCCAACAAATTGTGTAACCCTGCTCACACTCACTCCTCTGCTCTAACCTCTTTTCCCCTTGAACTCCCTTACACAAATAGAAATTTTTACAACAATCTTCACAGCAGCATTATTCAACATCACAAGAACATGGAAACAGCCCAAATACCCAACCATAACCAAATAGATTGAGATACTGTGGTACAGTCACACGATGGAATCTTATGCAGCACTTAAGAGCAACAATTTAGAAAAATACTTCATAACTTAGGGCAGATTGGAGAGCATTATACTGAGTGTACTAACTCAGTTTCATAAGGACAAATATTGCATCCTCTTTTTATAACAGTGGTCCAGTGCAGTATTTGTCCTTTTGTGACTAAGATATTTTATTCAGCATAATGTCTTCCAGATGCATCCATATTTTATAGTGTTTTACAAGTTCATTGTTTTCTAGTGCTGCATAATATTCCATGGTGTCCCATGTATTTTCTGTCTACAAACACATGAAGAAATGTTCAAACCCCCTAGCAATTAGAGAGATGCAAATCAAAGCAACAATGAGGTATCATCTCACCCCAGCAACAATAGTAAAGTTTGGCAAGGCAGCGAACAACAAATGCTGACGAGGTGGTGGAGAGATTGGAACACTTATGTACTGCTAGTGGAAATGTAAAATAATGCATTCACTGTGGATGTCGGTCTGTTGCTTTCTCAAAAGTTTGAAAATAGAAATATCATTTGACCAGCTATCCAGTATTGGGAATATACCCTAAAGAAACCAGTGCTGTGACACAAACAGATGCTTATTATAGCATTTTTCACAATAGTTCCAGTTTGTAATTGGTCCATCTTTGGTTCCCTGCTATTCCCTATGTGTGGCTTACAAATATTTACTGAGTTGAGTGAGCAATAAGTTGTTTCCTTCTCTTATTCTGTTCCTCCTTCTTCCCTTTCTTTTAGTCATCAAAATATATGAGAGGGAACAGATGTTATAGCAACTTAAAAAAATACTCTTACTATTTCACTACTTAGCAATTTCTCAGCCCCCTTCTCCCCAACCTCTAGGTTCCAACGTGCTTTGAAGATAGGAATTGTAGATTAGAGGTCACAAGAGGCAACATATATTTATTGGATTTAGGGCTAGGTCAGGAAACTTTTCTAATCAAAACGGAATGAGTCCTCAAAAAATGATATTGGGATGCATATGTAATAGAGGGAAAATATTATATTTTTGGGGCATTTTACCTTTAGATCATGCCACATAAACTCAATAAGTATATCAGTTTGATAAATTATAAACTAATTTTTAAACTTTATGTCATTTAGGGTGGAGTATAGAAGAAAAGATAATAGGAAGGAATAGGAGAGTGAAACAGAATGAAACAGATAAATGAATAAATAGAGACATATTGACCATGAGTCCTGTAAGGACCCCAGTGATGCCATGTGTTACATTACATGTTGGACTGCTAAATGAAAGTTCAGCTGTTCAAAACCACCAGCTGCTCTTGCAAGAGAGAGACAAAACAATCTGTTTTTTAAAAATTTTATAGCACGGGAAACCTAATGCAGGGTCACCATAAGTCAGAATCTTTTAGATGGCAGGATTAGGTGGTTTTCATTTTTATTTTGGCTTTGATTGGGAGATAGAGAAGTTGAGGAAAAAAGAAAAAATAGGAAACAAAAAAAAATGACCAAAATTTAGTAGGATTTTTGTGATTGTATACCTCTCACTCTTCTTATGCCTTTGGGCTATCAGCCCTGTAATAGGTTATTACTGCCTTTTAAAACTATGCTAGTACTCCCTAGCAATATTTAATACACACCTTTCCCCTATGCTTTCCTTCTAATGAGCAAAGGCATGCCCAATTTTAATGGAAAATTCCCTTCATTTATTTCTTTCTATAGTTCTATCATCCAGGTCACTTTTTGTTTAAGAAAAAAACATATATTGAGTTAACAAGGTAAACTGTCATGCTTTGTAGTACCCATTCATCCAGATTTCAGATGGAAAATGGCCTCCAACCAAAATCATACTTTCTCACTACAAAAATATTGTGATCGTGACTCTTATTAGAGAAAGCCCCCTATGATTAGAAATTTAGACATAAAAAATTGTAATGGTTTTGACCACACTTATGCTAATGCAGGTGTTGTTGTGTGTCATTGAGTCGGTAGATTCAAACCATGTGCCTTTGGGATTGTAGCACAGCTTCTTACCATTAGGCCACCAGAGCTCTCTTAAGTGCAGATAGTTGTGTGGGTCAAACTAGACCCTGTGGAGATCAGCAAGCTCCAAGTGTAAGTTACAGACCTTCTAGCTAATGACTTGCTACAATTCCATGAAAGATCCAAGAGGATCTGAAATTGGATGTGAAACTTGTATTTTTCTGGGTCTTACTCTGGTCTGAAGTTCTAGAAACTAGATAATACAAGACTTGTAAGCCTAACCAATACAGGATAGAGGGAGGAGACAATCTGACCTTCCCAAACGAATCAAGACTCTGATATTGTCCTGGGCCTTCTAGTTGGAACTGACTTATAGCTAACCTTCCAGCAGTTTCTCAGGGCAGTAAATCACACGGTAGGAGGTTGCTCAGACTTCACAAGAGGCTGGCGGATTTAAACTGTGTACCTTTCTGATTGTGGCGCAGTTCTTACCACAAGGCCACCAGAGCTCCCTAGTATAAGTGTGGTCAGAACTAGTACATTTTTTCCTTGAAATTCTCAAAACACCATCAAAAACAAGGGAGAGACTGGAAAGCGAACTAAGTCTCATAAGGACAAATACTGTGTAAGACCATTATTATAAAAATGGAAGAATATCTAATAAAATATGCATGGGGACTCAAGAGGGAAAGGGGTGGGAGCAGAGGGGTGAGGATGGGTAGGGGTGAAACCACAGGCCACAGGGTTGCATAGTTTGGTGGGTGGAGGGAGGGGGGTGAAGGAAAAGGGAAGGATCCAGCAGGGACCTGAAAAGATTGGGTAATGATGAGCAAGGTCCAATGGTGATTGATCTTATAAAACATAATGCATGGAAATGACTGTGTGAATGAAGAATATTGTGAAATACAATTTATATTAATTTTGTGAGCAAACCAATATAAAACGAAAGAAATATTGATAAAAAGATCATAAAAAGAGGACTAATACCTCGGAAACCCCATTTAACCTCAGCAACTTCTGATAGGGATATCTTGCAGTTAGAACTTTAGGATGAGAAAAAGTTTAAAGGGAACTAACCTTTCTATTTCTCTTTTCTGTTGTTAGGTCCACTTTGCTGGTTTCTCTTGGCTGTGGCAATCTCTAAACCAACCACAAAAACCATTTAAAGCACCACAGGATCTCTTGCCACTAAGCCCATTTGTTGCAACTTCTTGCAATCCTGAGAAGAGTACAGAGCAGCATGGAGGCAGTGTCGATTCCTTTTCTACTGGGTGGGCTTATTGATTGTTTAGCCCAGCTAATAAGAATCTCTGAAGAGCTTTTACAGGCCATGTTACAAGAAGTTCCTGTCATGGAACAAAATGGTGGAGAAGAGCACATAGAAATGGATGCAGATGGAGATATAGATATAGATGATATAGATATAGATTATATAGATATAGATATAGATGCAGATGCCCCAGATGCAGATGCCCCAGATGCAGATGCCCCAGATGCAGATGCCCCAGATATAGATGCTTCTGATATCATATCACTGCCAGATATTTCTGAGATCTCAGATTTTGAGTCAATACTTACTGCAGAAGATGATGAGCTAATCCTTGAGATAGAATCTTCTATGATCTATGGAGAGGATGACATCTGTGACAACGAGCTCATTGATGTGGACAGTGACATTCGAGGGGCTTCAAGAAGTGACTAAGATACAATTGGTCTCTGCAGCATATAAGAATTTATGATGGGTTTGTTTCAAGTATATTCTTTTTTTCCCCTGACTATAACACTATTAGTTTTCTTCTAGTCCTACCTTATTTTTTTCTTTATTTCCAGTACACTATAGAGCAAGTGTGATTGGGTTTAATTTGAACATAAATAGAATTCTTTTTTCTTGTGGTTACTCAAAAACCTCTGGCAAAACTTGGTTTGCCTGCCTTTGTTCTCCATGGCAAGAGTAATCAATAGCTAAGGGAATAAAAGCTCTTACCTAACACTGGAGTGAAGCACTGATCAAGCCTGTCACATCATGGCATTTAATTTGATTGTTTAAAAAAGTGAGATTAAAAGAACACCACTCGTGGGTTAGTATGACAGTGGATCTGTATACATCATCAGGACAATGTTGGATCATTTATACCTCAAAAAATAGAACTCCTTATTGGATCTTTAAGTGAGGATATAGCAAATAAAAGAGGTGATAACATACTCAGGGACAATAGTTCTGAAAAAGCAAAAAAGTTACTAGATAATAGCTGTCAGGAAGGTTCTCAGGGAGAAACTCTGCTTCAGTGCAGGACTATTCCAGCAAATGTGTAAAATATACTATGCCAAATTAAGCTAAACTGAACAGTGGAAAAGCATGGAGAAACTGTTTATCTCAGTATTCCAAAAGGAACCATTAAAGAAGGAGATCTGTATACTTAATAAATTGAGAGGAGCGATACAAGCACTGAATAAAAATTAAAAGATAGTATCTGTGCTTTAATTAAAGTACTTGAAATAGCCAGCAAAATCTCCACTCCCTACTAAAAATTTGGACTTTAGAAAATTGGGCTATGATTTTGTGTTAGAATAAAATTCAAGATAGGACGACTTGAATAAGATTAGGAAATATGCAAGAAGAGATGAACAGTTTGGCGCACCGTTTTGCAAAACAGTTTGTAAATGATCAGACCTGCTGGTTCTCAAATAAGGTTAACAGGTGAGTGGAACTCTCGGATATAGCTTTTCTGAAAATTTCTCAAGTTTGTTAAAACCCTTAGAGTTAATGAGGAAACAAGCAACATACAAACTTATGTAGGGCTCCAAAGTAGATAAAAAGACATTTGAGATGACTGTAGCCTTTGAAATGAGATGAAGACCTGAATCCTCCTCACTCCTATGGCAAATCAGCTAATGACCAACACAATGCAGATGTGAAAACAGGAAGACATTACAACCTTGTGCTGGATCACCTGGAAATACTGAACTGTATGGACTAGATAGAATACACTGATGACAATGCTTGCTTTGATTGTATAATTATTTGCATTTAAGAATTGTTAAGATATCAGTGCTCTTAGAAATGGGTTGTAGGGTTCCCCCCTCCTTTTTTATTATAGTTTAAAGTATATAAGCTGCAAGGAAATAGATTTAATAGTGATAAGTAAGTTTAGAAGACAAAATATTTAGGAAGCAGTAGAAAAGTAAAAAGTTGTTGTTAAGTATGCTATTGAGGTAGGAAGTGACTTTATCATATTAGTTTCTAAGCAAGTGTATAAACCAAGCCCTGTTTGGATCATATGTAAAATTAGCCATCTCTAGATGTTGATGTTGATAGAAATTGTTGGTAATTGACATGTCCCAAAGTGCAATTAGAGACAGATGTATTTGCTAACTTAGAAGTCCAACGATGCAATACCACTGATTGGAGTCCTACATCTTTCCTAGAGGAGGATGGAGAGAGAGGGTGATCCTCTATCCATACTGGCCTCTTTCTAATAATTTTGGAACCAACACCAAAGCCGATGTTGTATGTCATAGGTAGGTAAAGAGGGAGACAGCCTCATCCTTCTGAGACAAGGCTGTGAAAACCAAAGGAGATGGGCTAGTGAGTGGCAATGAATTAGGTAGGTAGTACAATCTTTGTATGCTTTGGCTAAGCTAATATGTGTGGGCAATTGTGATCATATGCTTGCATCATTATTGACTACCAGATTTTAGGGAGCTCTGGTGGCCTACTGGGTAAAGAGTTGTGCTGCCCACTGAAATGCCCGTGGGTCGAAACTGCTTCATGGGAGAAAGATGGGCAATCCCCTACGTGATTGAAATGACTAGATGGCACATAACCCCTCCCCCCCCAACACCACCAGTCAATCTGATTGTAACTCCTATGATTTTGTATAAACCGTTTTACTGTTACATATTTTAAGATATTTTAATAAACTTTCATTTACTAATCAAAGAACTTGTGGTCATCTTCAATTACCTGGTGAACTTGGAAGCTACCAAACTGGCATTTAATCACATTGATCATTCCATAGACGATAGCAGAATGTATTCAGACAGAATGTCATACCAGAAGTCTAAATTCTACCCCAACTTTGTCAGATGATTCTGAACAAATATAAAAACATAATTTTTCCTCAATTGTAAAATGAAAGCTGTAATATTTTTTCTGCCTACCAAGAATGGCAATAAGGTGGTGGTGGGTTGTTGATTGCCGTTGAGTCAAGGATGACTCATAGTGACACTATGAACAAAAGGCCTGAAGCCTTTCTATAACTATCATTTCTCCAGATTCATAGAGTTTTCAGAGGCATGTGTTTCCAGAGGTATGCGGTTTAGGAAGTGGATGCCACTCCTCCTTCCAAACCTGTCTTAAAACAGGGAGCTCCACCAAACACTGTTCACCATGGGCGGCCGTCATGGCATTTGACTCCCAATGGCACAAGGTTCAGCTTCACAGCAAACCCAGATTACCTCAGTGCAGCAAATTGACCTAAGAGTGCTGTACAACTTAAAAGAATAATCCTCCAAAATTAAATAACAATAAGGAATAAATGAAATAGAGATTTTATATATATATATATATATATAGTCATGACATGAGTCCAGAACAAAGGCTGCATAGAGGAGTAGACTTGGGGGGCAGGGATTGTATAACAATGAAAGAATTTTACTTTTCAAAGAGAAGAGTGAACTGGGGGGAGGGGTGGGCAGAGAGAAAGTTGCCACCATGAATGAATGGAAATCCAGTCTCAAACTTTCATTAATAAAATATATATATAAAAGAAAAAATACAGAATTTTAAACAAACTTTTAGCATGATATATCTGACATTTGGACAGAAAATATATGAAATTGGTTTTTCTCAGAGATATCTGAAAGATGTTTATAGGGAATTGTCTGGAAGTCCATTTGCTGTGACTGAATCACTTTGTATCTACTTTAATGGATTAAAACTTCATATTATATTCTATTGACAACAATAATATCAACACAGAGAGAGATCAGCTGGTCCAGTGGACAGAAAGCGATGCTACCAAGCCAAAGGTGGGTGACTTTTAATTCGCAGCCCTCGGGTAGTCTTTCATTGTTTTTGTTCAGACATTCCTCTAGGTCATATATAGCCTTAGTGTACCAGTTGCCCTACCGCGGTCGCTTGTGGTTGCTGTAAGGCTGAACACTGTGACATTGATGTGTCAAATGTGTTAATGGTTGGCTACCCAATGCAGACAGAGAGTGTGGTGGAGCTCCCCAATTAAACAAGCTTGGAAGGAGGAGTAGCATCCACTTCCATAATAGCTTGTCTCCGGAAACCCTATGAACCTGGAGAGAGGATGAAAGGCACCCAAGCGTAGAGGACTCTCCTTCATAGGGTCGCTATGAGTCGCCTGCGACTCCAAGGCACTTAACAACAACAAGAAGATTATATTCCATGCCAAAGTTACAGTTTAACATTACCTTTTGTTTCTTTCTCTTGAGCTTATTTTCACTAATTTAAATTCTTTTTGGAAGTCTAATTGGGTTCTAGAAGGAATAATAATGAGGGACTCACAATGAAAAACAAACAAACAACAACCCTTTAGGAAATAACAAATCATATCCTATTCATGGCTAAGGTATTGTTTCTGAGTTGATGTGTAACTTGCCATTATTAACCTGCTGTGCTCCAACTATAAAAAAAAGTAAAGCTCATTGCTGTCAGCTTGGAACCAAGGTATAGCTGACTCTCCAGTGAATTTCTGAGGCAGTGAATCACACAGGAGAGTGTCTGTTTCCCTTACGGAGCCGCTTGCTGGCAGATTCAAACCTTTAGGTTAGCAGCACAACTCTCTGCTGATCAAACTAGATTTTCATCTTTTTTAAATATCAATGCTATTTTTGTATTGGCGTATATGTTGTGGTGGTGTTGATTGCCATCAAGTCGAGCCCGGCCCTATGAACAAAAAGCCTGAAACCCCTCTACAATTATCGTCATTTATCAAAGTACATAGGGTTTCTGGAGGCATGTTGTTTAGAAGTGGATACCACTCCAGCTTCCAATTGGTTTTTATAGAGTATTAGTGATTCCTCTTCTATTTTTTAGTTTAGTTTTGTTTTGTTTTAAAGGGATCCTTTTCCTTACAGTCTGTATCTAAATCTGCCTTTATACCCACAGAAACCTTACCAAAAAATCAACCAACCAACCAACCAACCAATCAAATAGCTAACCAACAGAAAACTCTCAGTTTAAAGGACAAAATATCTCCTAGTTCACAAAGTTATTTGGGAGTTATTTGTATCAACAGATGCAGCTAGCCACTGGGCTTGAAGGCCATACTTCTTTAAGGTAATTAAGAATCCTTGAAAGATGTTCACTTACAGTGACATGGCCAGCCATTTTTACCTCCGAAGGACCACATTTTAAGCAAGATAAGGAAAACCGTTGTGTTCTTTACCCCTTGCCACAATTTCATCTTAAAAACCTTCATTAGACAGAAATGTCTGAAGAGGTGTTTTTTTAGTTTCACACACGCGAGTGTAAAATAGGCTAAGGAACTACAGTTATGCAACACACCTTGAATCTTTAGGATTTCTTTAACCAGAGATATTATCAGTGAAATCTCTTGTTGAACACACATGTTTATACATGCCTCTAAATTATCACAAATTTGATCAATATTGGTGGTTTCTAATAATAATATTCTTACACTTAGAAAACAGTACTTTCTACAAAAACAT